TAGACTGTTCCCCCCGCGACTCGGTCCCGGATAAGCGGAAGAAAATGGATGGATGGATTTTATCTATGACTTTCTCTTCATCCACTCTGATTGTAACTATTAAGTGTGTTTGATGTAAACATGCTTACATTGTTATGACAACACACAATTAAACATCTATGACCAATAAAAACCAGTACCTCTGTGCATTCATGCTGTTGTGCAACATGGCGTCTGGCAGTAGGGTGGACTGCTGGCTGGGGGGCTGCACCCCCACTCCACCATTTACTCCCATAGAGTTCCCTCCTGCAAAGAGAAGTTATAGAGCTTGTTATTAATTAACAACAGCATTTGTGAAATGAAACTGCTGTAACTAATATTTTGTGCTGATATAAGATGCAACGTCAAATCCCAACATTTTTAAGCTTAAGAACTACAGCAATTCAACACTGGTCAGAGACCGCCTTCCTCAGCAGGGTAGGAACATATAAACACTGCCATAGCATGACAGCAAACCCAGCTGCGGAAATACAAACAAAATTGTGTGACAGGACTCAGAGGAAGGTCGACAAAGATTGAGGAAGCTATTCACTTCCAACGCCAAAAACATCTGATGTATACAAACACCTGCTGTCACATTATACACCTGATGACACCGGGGCCAGCTAAATATCCATAATACCGTAACTTCCAGACTATAAGCCGCACCCACTAAATTTAAGATAAACAAAACATTTTGTACATAGTGGCAAGTGTCCATGTTGTAACATGAGATATTTCGACAGCCAGATCGATCGGCTGTAACTTGAAAGCTGCATCATATGCATTTCGTCGTGCGTTTTCCATGTGCATGAAGCGACAAAAGTAGCGGCTTATAGTCCGGAGATTACGGTAAAAACCAAAAGATGAACTTAAAAGCTCAGTGTGTAGACCTTTGATTTGAGATGATTTTGTCATTGCAAGTAGAAGAATGAACTCAGTGACAATCCTGAGATACACACAGTGATATGCAAACTAACCCATGGTGTTTAGAGGTCTCATCCCAGGCTGCCCCTGCAGTCCCTGGTTTGGCATGTTGGCTTGTGGTGGCTGCTGTGGCATCTGGTTGCCCTGGTAAGTGAGGCCCAGTGCAGCATAGGCCCTCTCTATGGAGCTGGGGTCAATCTGGTTTGGAGGGTTCAGGTTCGGAGCGTTGGACTGCCCACCCGACACGCCTGAACCTAAAGAGTTCACCAAACCCACCCCTGCAGTGTTGACAAGAGCTGTCCAGGGAACATGGTTGGCAGAAAGAGAGGGAAAAGGTTACAAAGGATGAGCCTTTGCAGATTCAGTCCTAATGTACATGCACTTTACCTGTTGGTTATAAGATTCTCAATATTTAGCTGATATGCAATAATTCAGTGGTAAGAGCCATCAGCATGTGTATTGCTAAAAGACACACACACCCACAGTCAGAAAGACAAAAGCACTCACACTGCTGGTTCCTCTTGTCTCCAGCACTTTTCAGTGGCAGGCAAACAGGACAGTCGTGTCGTGTGCAGTTCTTCCAATGAGAAATGATCTGTCTGGACGAGGCACAGTGTGCAACTGCGGAACAAGACGCAGAAATGGAGAAAACATTGAAAAAATGGCAGAGAAGTAAAAACGGGGAGAACAGGTGAAATTCAGAAATTGTGGCAAAAGATGAAGAATCAGACAAATGTGAGAGGAAAAAAAATGAAAACTTCAGTCAAGAGGAAGAAAGAGAAAGTTCTTGTATGAGTCATTCAGTAGAATAAAACTGCATCCAGATGGAGACTCAGTGAGCAAAGGAGAAAGAAAAAAATCACAGTAAAGCAGCCAGCTAAAGAGAGAATACCCATTGTGATAGAAGGAAAAGCTGGAAGGCAAAACAAGAGGACCATAAACAACATACACAAACATGCAAACAAAAAAGAACAGCTGTAGATACATGCACATCACTGCTTAGGGTTTAAGACAGAAGCCACAAACCATAAAACCAGCAACAAGTATAAACCAGCAGGCTCACCCTGGCAGGACTTGCCAGCCTGGCAATGAGTCATGTGGTTGAGCACGTTCTTCATGGTGCGACAGTGGGGCAGGTTGCAGTGTCGCACTTCACCGTTGGCCTGCTCCCTCCGCTGGCACTTGTGTGCATGAAGCAGGAGGACCAGCTGCTGTTGAATCAGCTTCCGCTTCTCAGGATCGGCAGTAGGGGGCGCTGTGCCGGGACCTGCCCCTACAGCACTCAGCCCAACCCGGGGCCCTCCCCCTGCTGCTGCTCCTGCGACAGACACCACCCCCGCGGGGCGGCGGAAGCTGCTGCTGCTGCTGCTGCTGGGGGGCCTTGGGACACAGAGGCGAGAGGAGGCAAAGATGAATCATTTACAAGAACGCAATGGTCAGGCATGATCAAACCCAAGTGAAAAGTGACACCCACTATTCTCAGCTCAACATTTAATAGATTTTGCCTTTGATTTTCAATGTAACATATTTGGAATCATACAACAATTTAAAAAAGCATCTTAAGGCGGAAATTACATGAACCTCCTGCAACCTGGGGCCTATTTCAAGAAGGCGGTTTTGTCGAAACTCAGAGTTTGTTAACCCCGAAATGAGGGAAACTCGGAGTTTTCGGTTTCAGAAACGGAGGTAACTTAAACCCGTGAAGCGGGGTAAGTTAAACCC